TTTAAATGAGGTGGCAACTAAGTCTACATCAAAGAAGCACATCACCTTGTGTGATCCAAAGATGACAATAATTTAATCAAAATATGATAAAGGGAAAAGTGTCAGAACTTAAATTGTGAACACCAATTTGTAGTAGGTTATGGAGGACAGTGGGAGCTCAAAATCCATCTGCAGACTACCAAGTTAGATTAAATTCTGGCAGATACCTTCTAGTCACAGCCAAGGGACTCAAACAGCTTTACTATCAGACAGATTATTTTAAATTTGATCATGGTAAATTGAACCATGACATAATGATACTTGATCAGTTGACCTCCCTCTTGACAACCTGAATTTGCTTTAGGCTCCAATATTTCTTGTATGTTCCATAACAGAAAATTCTCTAGCTTTAAAAATATTGATAGTAGTTTTTCTTTCTTACTCTTTATAGATATTTTATGATTATATTATTATTACCATTTTCTTGTTGCTGTTTTGTTTTTACATCTTATTGTTTTTGTAGAGTTTCCCAGTTTGTGTTATAGAGACAATAAATATTGCAATGCTTTATTGGGGATGTGAAGGGGGTTGGGAGTGTAGAGGGTTAGGAAATTTAGGGAGCAAAGTATGAATGTGGGAGGGGGAGGGAACATTAAAAGTGATTGTGATGATGTATATACAACTTAAAAAAAATAATTTCACCATGGAAGTAGATGATATGTGAATACTATGTCGAGAAAACTACTAAAAAACAAAGAAAAGAAAGCACACTTTACCAGTAGTTACCATGGGTGAAGGAGAAAGAATTGTTGCTTAGGGGGCATTGAGTTTATTTTAATGGTGTTGGAATAATTTGGAAAATGACATCAATAATGGTTATACAACACAGAGTATAATCAATGGCACTGAATTATACATGTAGAAGTTGTTGAATTGCAGAATCTTTTCTTGTGTATAGTTTTGCCACAATTAGAAAAAATAAGTACATGGATACCAATGTGTACAAGAAAGAAGAAAATGTTCTAGAATTGAATGTGGTGATAATTGTACAACTCTTCTTGATAAGATTGAAATTAATTGTATGATGTGTGGGTGAAGTGCTAATAAAACTGTTTTCAAAAATAAAATGATGAACCTTCTTGAACAGGTAAAATCTTGTCACTTGATCACCGACTGATACATTATGGGCTCGATGTGGTTTTCTATATTTTCTCTGTGTGTGTGTTTCATATTGGTGTTTATCTCTGATATATTTTTTCATTGCAGATATCCTTCTTGAATCTTTTAAATTTTTTCCCTGTTTTTTTTTTTTGTACATAAAATGCAGAATTGATGAACCTATAGAGACAATAATTAGATTAAGGGTTAAAGAAGGAAGAAAATGTTTTTAAACTGATTGTGGTAGCAATTGTACACTAGTACTTGATATGGTTGAACTATGGAATGGTATGATGTCTGGATTATCTCCTAATAAAATGTTTTGGAAACAAAGAAAATAATATTATTTACAATTGAAAAAACAAAAAAAACCTTACTTCTCTGGAGTAGATAACTGCCCCTTTGAGTTTACAAGACTGTAAACCTTTGAGATAAGAAAGCCTGTTCTTTTTCCTGAGAGGCTGCTCACCTTGTGGTTAGCAGTCCACTCCTATCCACTATGCCAACAGTTGCCACACTGAAAATGAAATATTTGGTAATAAACTTAACAAATGAAACAAAAGGCCTGCACAAAGAATACTGCAGAACACTATGAGAAGTCAATAGGAGACTTACACAAATGAAAGAATATCCTATATTCATGCATAAGATGTAATTTTGTGAAAATGTCAATAGTAGTCAAAGCAATCTAAAAATACAACAGAATTCTGAGCCAAGTCCCAGTTGTTCTTTAGAGAAAAGGGAAAACCAATTACTAACTTCATATGGAGAAAGAAAAGACCTAAGATGAACAAAAACTTTAAAAAAGTAATATAAAGTAGGATGTCTCATAATATAATACCTCAAAACAGCCACAATAATTAAGACAGCCCGGTACTGCTATAATAATAGATACACAGATCAATGGAGCAGAATAGAAAGTCCAGAAAACAAATCCATCCACCTACAGGCAACTTTTGACAAAGGGACAAAAAAACCCCAAAACAAAACAAAGCATTAAATGGTAAAGAAACAGCCTCTTCCACAAGTGGTGCTGGCCAAATTGGATCTCCATCCGCAGATGGTGATGCACCTCACCCCATGCACAAAAACGAACTCAAGATGGGTCAGAGACCTCAACATAAATCCCAGATTATAGTGATCATCAATGAGAAAATTGGAACAACTTCAGGGCCATACACTTGCAGGAAGCACAACCGAAGACAAAATAGATGCCCAGGATCTACTAAAAATAAAACACTTAGGTAAATCAAATAATTCATCAAAAGAACAAAAACAGCTGTGCCCTCGGCGCGAACTCGTGCCGCCATCATGGCACTCTCTGAGGCAGCCGGCTGTCGGAGCTCCCTGCTTTGGCCTAGCGTATTGCTCTTTGGAGACTCCATCACCCAGGCTATAATACCAGATGGGCCAAAATCATTCTCCCGAGAATCATTGGGAAGGGTAGTAGTCTGGACCGCCCTGTAGCAGTTACAGTTTTCTTTGGTGCCAATGACAGTGCTTTAAAAGATGAGAATCCTAAGCAACACATCCGCTGGAGGAGTACCTGGACAATTTCAAGAGCATGGTGCAGTACCTGAAGTCTGTGGAAATCCCGGAGAACTGAGTGACCCTCATCACGCCGCCGCCTCTTTGTGAGACAGCTGGGAAAAGGAGTGCATCCTACAAGGTTGCAAATTAAATCGCCTAAACTTGGTTACGGGTGAATATGCCAAGGCCCGTTTACAAGTAGCTCAAGCCTGCAGGACTGATGCACTCGACCTGTGGACCCTGATGCAGGAGGGTAATCAGGATTTCTCATCCTTCTTATCAGATGGACTACATTTGTCACCAAAGGGAAATGAATTTCTCCTCTCACACCTGTGGCCTCTCTTGGAGAGGAAGCTCTCTCCCCTGCCCTTGCTGATTCCTTACTGGCAAGATGTAACAGAAGCAAATTCTGAAGTAAATCTGCTGGGAGGTGGGGACCATTTGCCGGTCCCAGAACTGGCAGGTTAGGATGTCAGGACTGCTGGTGCACAAACAGTCCCTGAGGACAAAGCAAAAAACACTTTTCCCTCATGACTCTGTATTTTCAACCAATATTAATAAAAGCACTAGGACTTTTTTTCAACACTTTAGCAGAAACACAATGAACAAATGGATTATTTCTAAAATATATAGACTTCTGCAACACCTCAATGAAAAAACCCACAAATAACCCAATAAAGCAGTGGGCCAAAGACCATGAATAGTAGTCCAGGACTACAATATATTGACTATTTTAATTCCCTCCTGACTTTATTATGACATGTATTAATCTGGTTCTGCCTTTATGTATGAATATCATTGAAAGTTTTGCCCTACCATTAACTCCTATTGTTTTTGTAAATAGTGTCCAGTTATGTACGAATTTAATGTGTACAAGTTAACAATTCATGTATTGCAGTTCATAACTGGCCTATATTTGTAAAATTTCCTTTTCTCAACAGTGTTTTAAATTCCATACCATTGACTAAATTAATGACAATATCAATAGAATTACCTTCTGTTCCACCGGGATAGTTGATAATGTTGTCTATCATAAAATAATAATTATGTCTTTAAGGTGAACCACAGAAATATATAAGCCATAGATGCTTAATTACAGCCCCAATCTAAGAAGAGTTAGTTCTCAAGACATTGTCCTGCTTGATGTTCACCTTCATGAGGAGATCACGGAAGATGTGCGTGCTACAGCAAATTGTGGTGAAGAAACAAGATAGTGCTCAGCTATCAGAAAGAATAGGATCTGGGGTCTTGAAGACTATTCTTAAAACAAGCAGCCACCTAAGCTTACGTGGAAGAAGCACACAAGCCTCTGTGACCCAAGGATTGTAAATAATAAAATCCAAGACCAGACAAAGGAACTGTATTAGAGCTTAAATTCTGGTACCTAGTTTGCAGAAGGTTATGGATGACAGCTAAAACTGAACCATCCTTTTGCAGCATCCCCATGTGGAATAAGCCTCTCATGAATACCTTCTCAACATTGATTAGAGATGAGAATAGCCTTGGTATCAGCAAGAGCACATTGGAAAGTGAGTTAATTCTGATATACCTTGTAGTTAGGTTAAAATTTAACACCTTATCATGTGTTCTCCCTTTTGACCCATTTCAATTAGTTTTAATTTTTCTGCTTTTTCTTGGATTGAGATTTTTCTGTGTTTTATTTTGCTATTGTTGTTTGGGGAGTGTGGGGGGTTGTATGTTTTTATTTATATGACATCCAGGTACGAAAATAAATTTGTAGAGATAATAACTGAATTTATAGTTTCTTAGGATTATGAAAGGGTAGGCTGGGGGAAATAGGGAGCTAATAATAATGATTATATAAATAAAGAAAATGCTCTAAAATTGATTGTGGTAATGATTGGACAACTCTTTTTTAATATGTTTAAACTATTGAATTATATAGCGTGTGAATTATATGTCAATAAAACTGTAAAAAAATTAGCCTATATTGGTCCTTGTAGCTCAACTGAAGCCCTTGTCATACTGGATTGAGTCTTTTCAGAGATTCCACTTGTTCTTAAGATAATGACTCATAAAATCTGGAGGTCTGGACTGAGAGTCTATTACTGTGGTTTTTTCAATCTCTCTCTTTCTCTCTTATGTAAATTAGTCACTATTTTCTTCCTTCCATTTAAGTGAAAGCTAAGGTCTAATGGGAAATAACTGACCCATAAATATACAGTCAAACTATAATGCACAGCTCAACTTTTCATGCATGAGGCTTGCTCTTTTAAATACTCATCACTTCATTCTTTGTTATTCTTTTCCTCCTCAATGGCTATATTCTCCTCTAACCATTTCTGAGGAATTCGGCTCACTTTTCAACTTACCCTATACAGGAAGCTCTCTGCATGGAAGTGTACAGTGTGTAGGTCAATATCTTGGCCTATGGCCAACATATACCAGGCCACATGTTCTCCTTGGTACATGGTAAGACCTCTGAGGTTGGCATAGAGCTTTCCATTGATAGCTGTAAAAGAAGAAAACATTTTTACATATCTTCTTTTGATTATCTATTACCACTCCCCTGTCATCTTTCATGATAACAGTGACCTCCTAACTTATCTTATCTGCCTGTCCCTTTCTAATCTATCTTCCTTGTGTTGTAACACCACTGATAAATGGTGTTATCAGATATATCATCCTTAGCAACAAATATGACCATGTCAGACTACTGCTTGAAATATTTTAATAGCTCCCTCTTGCTCAAAAGATCAGGTTTAGTTAACAAAGTTATTTAAATATAAGTCCAAACCACCTTTTCAGATTCATTTCCCTTCCCAACACATTCCAAACAGCATGATTCCTTTACCATGCTCCATATGTTGCATGCATGTCATCTCCATCTATACTCATGTTTATGGGCTTCCCTTCCAGAAACCCTGCTTCTGTGTCACCATCTTTACAAAGCCTAGTCAAACATTCAAATTTCCCAAGAAATATTTTCTAATACCCTAGTTCCTCTCAATCATTCTCATTTTTTTATCCTCCTCTATTTTTGAACTCCTCTAGCCCTGTCTCTATCACTCTTGTATTTCACCAGAAATTGCCTTCTACTTTTAGTTATATTACACTGTGTAGACACTCACATCTCCAATTAAACAATAGGATCTTAAGTAGGAAATGAACACATATGCACTATAATAGTATCATTTCCTTACTATATTGTACTATAATATTATAAATTTTTTTTCAGAATACCCAGCAGATAAATGAGTCACAATAAATGTTCAAAACAGATTAGATATATCCCTGGAACTCAAATTGATATCAATACATAGATCTATCTTCTGCTTCTTTCCAGGCCACATATGCTTCAAAATAACCAAACCATTCACTGGCATGCTCTCATAGAGAAAAGTAATTTCCACTTTGCTCTTTCAAGAGGATAAATAAAAAGGAAGTTTTCTAGCCTCTCACTATAACTATCCCTACCAACTTGTGAATATGAGAAAAAGGTAAACATGTTCAACTCAGCCCCTTTAAAATTGTTTCTCTTCAAAGTGAAACAAAACAAAAACACCTCAGGAAGAGCTGTCCCCTCAAAGTAGTTGACAAAGTAGTTTGATGGGGTATGATGAAAAATGAAAGCAGCTGTAAATATCCGTAAATAATTGAAATATTGATTGTATGAAGTGTGAATCTAGGAAAACTGGAAGTTGTCAAAAATGAAATGAATCCCATAAAGATCAATATTCTAGGACTAGTATTTTGGCAGATGCACTAGTGTGGGTTGACTAGAGAAACAATTTCATAGATACTCATATGTGTATAACAAAGGTTTGTATAAAGAGTAATTGTACATTAAGAAAACATCCCAGTCCAGTCCAGGTCAAGTCCATAAGCTTGATATTAGCTCATATGTCCAGTACCAATCTATAAAGTCCTCTACAGGCTCACAAAACACATGCAATGACATTGAATTCAGGAAGATCACAGGCCAGTGGGTGGGAAAGTATTGTGGATCCAGTGGCATTGTAAGTATCTTAGCACTGGAAAGGGACTCCATGTGGCTCCATCAGCTCCAGAGCTCTAGTGTAGTTCCATGTGTCTTGTCCGCAGGAATGTCTCACAGGGAGTGAGCACGTATCTCACCCCAGCGAGCTGTTTATCTCCTTAGTGCCTCCAAATGAGGTCATCAAGCTGAAACCTGATTGACAGGCTAAACTCCACCCCTTCATTCATAAGTGTCAAATTGACAACAGATTATGTAACTACTGCAGCAGAAATGAAAAACACTTCAATTAAAATGCATTAATAATTATTAACAATTGGACTGTGAAATTTAAAGATAAAGAAGAAGGATCAGTAGTTGGAAAATATGGCCTTGATTTCTAGCTTGAAATGAAGCTAGAGACCACATGAGCAAATTTTGTAATATTGAAGATGTATTCATTGCAAATACCTATTTTCAATGACATAAATGGCAACCATATAAATGGACCTCATCAGAAGGAATACACAGGAATCAAATGGACAATATGTACATATCTATGCAAGAGACTCTGGAAAGGTGCGATATCATTGGCTGAAATAAAGCTGGGTTCAATTTCAGAGCAGACAACCAATTGCTTAATAGTCCAGGTTGGAGCTGAAGAAAATGAAACAAGTCCAGGAGAGCAGAAATATGACCTTGAGTATAACCCACTTGAATTTAGAGCTAATTTCAAGAAAAGATATAATGGATTTAACTATAATGATTGAAGATCAGACATGTTATGGGATAACATCAAGACGTCATACATGAAGAAAGAAAAAGTAAACAAAAAGACAGGAAAGAAAGAAATGATTAAAGCAAATTTCAGAAGAGACTCTCAAACTTTCTCTTGGAATACAGTAGCCAAAGCAAATGAAAAAATAATGAAGAGCTGAACAGAAAATGTCAAAGGCAGCTTGAGAAAAAAGAGTGAAGTCTATAATAAAATATTGAAAGACAGGAAGTTTGAAAACCAAAGGGCTGAAAGCATGCTTAACATTTTCTCAAACTGAGAGAAATGAAGAAAAAAATTCAAACCTCTAGTGATAATATTGAAGGATGCTATGGGCAAGTTTAGAAGACTTGGTGCCGGAGGTTCAGCCTGGATTCAGAAGAGGACATGGAAGAAGGGGTGTCATTGCTGATGTCAGATGGCTCTCGGATGGAAGCAGAGAATGCCAAAGATTGTGTTTTATTGATTAGGCAAAGGCATTTGACTCTGCGGACAATAAACTATTGATAGCTTTGAGAACAATGGGAATTCCAGAACACTTCACTGTGCTCATGCAGAACATATTGACTGGCATTCCATCAACTCCCAGAGATTTGTTTTTCACCTAGGACTTTAATGCAGCTTATATTTATTCAATACCCCATTGTCAGGAGAGATCAGTCCCTGGAGAATGAGATCATACTTGGTAAAGTAGAGGGGTATCAAAAAAAGACTAAGGTCCTCAACAAGATGGATCAACAATGAGATGTCTTCAACAATGGGCTCAAACATAAGAACAATTGTCAGGATGATGTAGGACTGAGCAATGTTTTGTTTTGTTGTGCATTAGGTCAGTATGGGTGAGAACTGACTTGACGGCACCTAACAACAACAGCATGGGCAAAATATTGAGAGTTATAGGAAGCATCAAAAGAAGATTGGAAGAGTACACAAGACACTGATTCAAAAAGAATTGGTCAGTGTTCAACCATATCAAGGGGTATCATATGATCAAGAAAAAATAGCATTGAAGATAAATTACGCATTGTCGAAAAACAAGGGTCCAGAAATTGATGGAATATCTATTGAAATGTTTCAATAAATTGATACAGAATTGGAAGCACTCAACAGTTATACCAAGAAATTTGGAAGACATTTACCTGCCCAACTACCTAGAAGAATCATATTTGTGTGCCTTCCAAATAAAGGTAACTGAAAAGAATACAGTGAACCCTCGCCACTTCGCGCTTCGACTTCCGCAGCTTCACTCTATCGCGGTTTTTGCGTAACAGCACCCACTGCCTACACCCGCTCCTTCAGAGGAAAAAGACGGCGACCCACCTGTAGAGTACATCCCTTAAGTCATTTCATAGGCTATTGATTACAGTATTTGTAAGAACTATGTATAATAAAACTGTATGTGAAATATGTAATACTGTAAACTAGATGCCATAAATAATATAATAAATAATAAATGATAATTGTAACGTCCAAAATGTTTTACTGTATTTTCCCTTTTTCGTTTAATAAATTGGGTAATACGAGTGTAATGGTGACTAAAGGGTGTTTTTTCATGTCCTCTATGCTCTAACTACGAAAATATTTGATTTACAAATAAGGAATCCTACTTCGCGGAATTTCATTTATCACGGTAGGGTCTAGAACCGATTAACCGCGATAAACAAGGGTTCACTGCATAATTTATCAAACAATATCAGTAATATCACATGTAACTAAAATTTTGCTGAAGACCATTCAACAACAGTTTCAACAGTACATTGATAGGGAGAGCCCAAAAATTCAAACCTAATTTAGAAGACTCAGAATGAGAATTATCATTGTTGATGGCAGATGAAACCTGGCTGAGAGCAGAGAATACCAGAAAGATGCTTGCATGGGTTTCAATGACTATGGCAAAACATCCCACTACATTGTTTATAACAAACTATGGATACCATTATGAAAAAATGAGAATTCCATAACACTTTTATTGTACTCCTGAAAAACACACACATAGACCAAGAGGCAGTAATTCAAATAGAGAGAGTGTATATTGAACAGTTTAAAATCAGGAGAGGTGTATTTCAGGGGTGTATTGTTTAACCATACTTGTTTAATCTGTGTGTTGAGCAAATCCTCTGAGAAGAATAAAGAACGTGGCATTAGGATCGGAGGATGGCTCATTAAAAACATAATATAGAGGTGGCATAAGTTTGCTGGCTGAAAATGAAGAGAACTTGATACACTTACTGATGAAGATAAAAAACTAAAGCCTTCAGTATGGAAGAAAATGAATATTCTCACAACTGGACCAATAAGCAGCATTATGATAGATGGAGAAGATTGAAGTCACAGAGAATTGAATTTTTCTTGGATCCTCAACCAATGCTCATGGAAACAGTTAAGAAATCAACAGATGAATTGCATGGGGGCAAATCTGTTGCAAAAAAACCCTCTTTTAAAATATGAAAGAGCAAATAGTCACTTTGAAGTGACCTAACCCAAGCCATGATATTTTCAATTGCCTCATAAGCATGTGAAAACCGGGCAATGAATAATGAAGATCAGAAGAGATGCATTTGAACCATGATGTTGGTGAAGAATATTGAAAATATTGTCAGATCAACAACAACAAAAACTGTCTTTGAACAAGTACAACCAGAATGCTCCTTAGAACTTTGGATATATACCAGGAGGCACCCACCAGTCCTTGGAAAATGGCATGATGCTTGGAAAAATAGAGGACTAGCAAAAAAGATCATGGTAGTCACCTAATCTGGTGTTAATTTAAGGATTAAGAGTGGAGGGGTGGAGTCTAGGCTGTCAATCTGGAGACAGCCAATTAGACTTCTGTGTGGGCATGGCCTTCTCCTGAGAATTCTGGGAAATCTGGCACTTACTCCTTGGAGGCAGAAGACATCTCTTTGTCTGCTACTCCGTGGGAGACATTGCAGAAGACAAGTCATATGGATGCAACCAGACCTCAGAAGCTGGAGAAGCCACAGCACTGAGATGCTTACAACGCCACTGGGCCCAAAGACTTTCTACCCACTGGCTTGTGATTGTCCTGCATTTAGCTTCATTGCATGTGTTTCATCAGTCTGAAGAGGATTTTATAGATTGGTATTGGACATATGGGCTAATATCAGACTTATGGCCTTAGACTGGACTGGGTTGTGATGTTTTCTCAATGTTCAATTCCTCTTGTATATACACCTCTCCCTTATATACATATGTGTGTTTATGAATTTATTTCTCTAGTCTACCCAGACTAACACAAAGAGCAAGACCCTGAATAAATAGATTTGGCACAGTAGCTGTAAGAGTTGACTCAAATATAACTACAATTGTTAGGATGGTGCAGGATTGGGCACTGTTTTGTTCTCTTGTACTTATGTACAAGGTCACTATGAGTTGGTATTAACTCTGTGGGATCTAACAACAACAACAACATTGTTTTCATTCCCTATTTGTCCTGAGCCAACTATGTGTGTGATCTGAGAAGAACCAAACACTCATCCCATGTAGTCTGTTTAGCATTTGTTCTAATGTTAATAACCCGTCTCTCTACCTTAGGAAAAAACTAAAATCTGTGGGACAATGAGAAACTACTTTTGAGTTTTACTAGAGTCATTATCAAATATACAATTAATTGTCAGATAAATAATCTTAGGCTAGACGGGATGGTGAAAGATCACTTCACACATTCCATTTATATTTGTGTCTTCTCTTGCTTTTTATAAACTTCCTTTATATTTGTGTCTTCTCTTGCTTTTTATAAACTTCACAGATCAAATCATACAAGCATAAAACAGTTATTATTTGTATCTAGTATAAGCACATGCTGAGGTTCTGTCCTCTAATTCTTTTATGTGTAAATTAAAGCTTTGATTTTACAAACCGAAATAAACTGGTTCCATTGAAAAAGCAGATCTTAGATTCAGAATGGTGATGAAGAAGATAATGTGAGACTAAACTCAAGACTGAAGTAGTGGGCCTTGTGGTTATCAGCCCAACATTTAACTAGTGTACTATATAAAAACATATGCCAGCAGTTGGGCTGCTAACCACAAGATCAGCAGTTCAAAACCACCAGCCACTCCATGGGAGAAAGACGAGGCTTTCTATTCCTATAGAGTGTAACTTGGAAGTCTTGGAAGCCCACAGAGTCAGTTCTACTCTGCCTTATAGGGTCAGCATGATTTTGAATCAACTCAATGACAATGGTATATAGATATAACTTTCTTCCAAAAGGTTTATACAGGCTCTGAAACTCACACAGAACTGAAACCCAGTAGCTGGGATGCTTCCCTCAGCCAAATACAGAAACGAATGTTTCAGGAGAAAACCAACCTTTTTTTCTGGTGTTTCTTTGGATCTCTCTCTGCTATGACCTGAGAAGATGATGAATATATTGGAGTACTAGTTTCACTGTCATTCAAATTTCCCACCTTGTAATCTTCTCTGGAAATTGTGCTCCCTTTGATAATAGTGGATCTATCAGATACTATCCCAACCAAACAGTAAAAACTTCTTTGGAGAGGGTAGGCTCTTGTCTACAGACCATGCATTTTGTTGCTCTCCAAGAAAGCCTCATCTTGTAGGTTGACTTGGTCTGAATTCCTGGGCCCATGAGTTGCTACATTCTCTTCCAGATACCATGACTGGTTCTCATCAAAGATCAGGAACAACAAGGCAAACTCTCGATCCATGTCACTTCGTCTTCCATGGGGCCCCAAGATGCCCTTTCGACAGATGACCAAGGGTCCTATCAGACCACTATACATGTCCTGGGGGAGAGAGAGAGAGAGATTTTGTTTTTGTCTCCTGGATGGTAGTTCAATCCAGAAAACCAATCTCACATGTAAGCCCACTGGGGCTCTCAGCACTTCATCATAACGTAAGCATTTACATCATAATGTAAGCATTTATAAACACATTTACTCCCAAAGTTCATTGAAAAGCTCATTTATTGCAATTCATGATGACTCCAGGAATGTCAGAGAAGACTGCTCCACAGCACAATGGCTAATTTTTTTCAAATCATTTTACTTGGGGCCCTTACAGCTCTTATAACATTCCATAAATCAATTGTATCAAGCATATTTGTACATATGTTGCCATCATCATTTCCAAAACATTTTCTACTTGAGCCCTTGGTATAAGCTACTCTTTTTTCCCCTCCCTCCCCTACTCTCCCACCCTCATGAATACTTGATGGATTATATATTGTTATTATTTAATATTTTACACTGTCCCTTGTCTTCCTTAACTCACATGCCTGCTATTCATTCCCTTCATGGGTGGTGGTAGTGGCGGCTATATATCCAATCTTGTGATGGGTTCCCCCTTCCTCCCCCTTCCTCTCTCCTGACCTTCCCCCTACCCTCATGATATCACTACTCCCACTACTGTTTCTGAGTGGGTTATCTGTTCTGAATTCCATATGTAGAGAGCTTTTATCTGTCCCAATGTATGTTCTCCGGTCTAGCCAGATTTGTAAAGTTAGAACTGGTAGTGTGGCAGGGCAGTGGGAAGGATGCATTCAGGAACTAGGGGAATGATGCGTGTTTTGTTGGTGCTACACTGCACCTTGGTTGAATCATCCCTTCCTTATAGCCCTTTTGTGGGGGGGATATCCAATTGTCTACAAACGGGCTTTGGGTCTCCACTCCATCCTTTCTCATTTGCATCGATATAGTTATTTGCTTTGGGTTCTTCTGATGCCTGATACCTTATCCCGCCGACAACTCATGATCATACAGGCTGGTGTGCTTCTTCCATGTGGGTTTATTTGCTTCTCTGATAGATGGACGCTTGCTTAATCCCAATCCTTTAAGACCACAGACGTTATATCTTTTGATAGCCGGGCACCATCTACTCTTTTCACCACATTTGCTTATGCACCCATTTTGTCTTCCATGATCATGGTGGGAAGGTGAGTATCAAAGAGTGCCAGATTATTAGAACAAGGTGTTCCTGTGTTAATGTAGGCCTTGAGTAGAGGCCCAAAGTCTGTTTGCAATCTTAATATTTAACATATAAATATATGTACATTAGGCTCTATCCCTTTCTTTTTAATTAATATATTTACATATATACATGCCTATAGCTATACCTCTATAAGTAGCTTTTGCCTCCTATTTCTTTCCTCTATTTCCTTTCACCTTCCTCCTATCCCACTATCATGCTCAATCTCCATTCAGCTCTCAGTGATTCCTCTAGGATGTATTGCACTTGATTGAACTCCACCAGGCATTATACGCCCTCCTTGCCATCAATTTTAGATCTCTT